TGAAGGAAATTGGGCTTCTGATTAAACACACATTTTCATGAAAAGTGTCTAACTTCTGTAGAAAATGTTGACTTTGTTTTTGCTATTAAAATACCTAAAAACCAAACACTTTTTTGATGCAGAAATGGTGCCTCATGGGATCTGTAGTTTAGGTGTCTCATGGCATCATTCTTCTCTATGGGGCATGTTCCCCTGCTGGACTACATCCCTCATGAAGTGTCTTTGCCAGGAGCTCCCATAATTCACCATGGTGGCTCAGCAAGAGGAGAAACTTTAATGCATCATGTGAAAAATAGTCTAGCCAGAGAGCCTGTCCTATAGAGGAGAATGGGGGCATGAGGCACCATGATGGCATTTCCTAATTTAAATTTTCAGTTCTCAGCTAGAAGATTTTGCTGTTCACCAGCCCCCCCCCCCCCCCAACAATGCCCCAAGAAGTCAAATTTCTGTGGAAAACTTTGATGAAAATTCAACTTTTCCAATTTTTTGTTGAATTTTCCCAAGGGGGGGTGGGTGGGGGTGTGTGGAATTCTGACCAGCTTTACAGCTCAGCTAGTGACCTCACAGAGAGGCATGAACCTTCACATCAGCCCAACAAGCGAGAGGTGGGGAGCTAGTGACATTACATAAGCTTTGAGGGATGAATCGCAGCCTGTTGCTGTACTTTGTATGGGACAAACCTTCTGTACCGTAGTAAGGCAATCGGGAGTATGCAGACAAAAGAAAATTGTCCTTCATGGATTAGAATTCCATATAGATGTAGGAGCTCAGGATTTGGCCCTTGTCCACAGCCTAATCTCCATGTATTTTTCTTCCTGAGTTGTCTCCTGCACTGGGGGAGAAGCAGGGTTTCCACTCTTTGTGGGACGGGGTGTGGAGCTGGCCTGCACATCCTGTGGCTCCCAGGCAATGGGATACTTGGGCTGTCTGTTAGGAAGCACCAGGGGCACAGAGCTTCCATACTCCCAGCTTTCTGGTACCCGAAGCCATGCTGACACCGGGCTCATGCAGTCAGTGGTTGCCCTTGGTGCTCCTCTTAAAGGGAAGTCCCAGTAGCTGGTGATCAATGATAATACTGATGGGCTACTATTTTTCAATGAAAAAAATCTTTGGGGGCTGTGAGGAGACAATGTGAGTCCCTCTGTTCACTTGTTTCCTTCTCAGGTCCTTCGATGTCAGAGAAAGTCCTTGGGAGAGCTGGAAAATGAGGCTGTGGAGACAGCCAAGTCCCCTTCCCATGGAGGAGAGGTGTGATCTGTGTGTAGGCCTCTAAGGAATGAGTAGGCCCTCTGTTACTCAGTTCTTTCTCAGGTAAAGATCCCCTGGAGTTCAGTGAGTTCTGCCTGAGCAAAGACTGAATAAGGATGTCAGGCTTTGGGTCATAATCATTTTAAAGTGAGAGCACGGAGTACGGCTGGTGGGATTCTGTTGATCCACTTTCAAATAGGAGACAGGAAATGCTACCAACTGTTCTCTCCCTCCCTCCCCCAACACCATTAAAGAATGAGGCACAAAGAGGCAGCCAGTAATATTTTGACTGTATTTCAAAGTTGCTGATTGTAAACAAACTTTGTTGAAGAAATAAAATCACATGACAAGATTTCAGTGATACTATAAATCCATTTTGTTGTTGTTGTTGCCACACTTCACATTTTGGAACTCAGAATTTAGCTCATGGTGTACAAAATTTGTAAAAACTTATTGCAAGCGTGCCTTTGTGTAGAACAAAAACCATTGTCACAAAAATAGTTTCCCGCCACACTGAGAGATGTAGCTGTGGGCCTTACCATGCATAGGGGCCCCACACACATTGTCTGAAAGATGTGTCTATTATAAAATTGCTCTGAGAAGTTTCAAACCAAAGAGAGAACAAACCACGCTGTACGTTTAATCAACGGTCTTTACAGTTTCAATAGAACTCTAGTTTTGGGAAGAAAATGGAAGTTTGCAACTAAAATGCAATCGTTTGTGAGCACAGCCTGACAACAGTGGTGTATCAATTGCACTTACAGAACTATGGACTATCCTTGTGTTCTGTACAGTCATTTCATTTGATGGAATGTAAGTTGCACAGGTTAAAAAAACATACCAATAAGGAATTATAGCTTGTAGGACTCCCTTGAAGAATCTCTATTGTTCCCATTACTACAATGTTGTTACTCTTAACTCTCCTCTTCAAACTATCCTAAGACACTCAGTGGTGTTGTGACTCTGAGACCTATGGCCAATCTGCCTTTCTAGTCCAAACAGAGACATCGAGTGCCACCCGATGGCTTCGCTGTAGCTAGAGCAGCTGGATGCCTGGCTGTGTCAAAGATATGAAACCCTGGCTTTTCTATTTAAATATGGGGATGATAAGGGGGTTGGGAAAAGGCCACAACATAAAACAGAAGGGCAGGTATTGGAGCTGAACAGCTGGGATCTCTCTGCACTCCCGGCCTCTAATCCTGTCATCTGATCTCTTCCAAATGCAGCAATGTGCTGCTCGTATTACTTCTCGCATCACTATTTCTGGATTCTATTGATGATTTCCCCATACAGGGAGCCAGATTCATGCCAGATGTAACTCCATCATTGACATCAGTAGCCCTACGACAGGTGATGAGTTGGGCCTAACACTTTTAGTGTGCCTTTTTTCCCCCCTTTAATAGCCAACATTTCTTCTCACTCTACTAATGTATTTTTACCTCTGTATTCCCCCTACCAGATTCAAAGTTAGCTGGTAAATTGGAGAGTATGACCCAAGAATAACTAAACCAAGTTGTAAAATTAATTCCAATTGAATAATCAAGTCACCTGCAACTCGTTTCCCATCAAATAAGTAACTTTCCTCAGTGTTGTGGTGAGGTGCGAGCTCTTCATTAGTCACTTTTTGCACATACTTGGACACCGATTAATTGGAGGACAATACCACAGTTACTTTGACAGCAAGTGGGTTGGGATTTGGGATAGATGACCCTAGTGTGACTGGGCTCCAACTTGACTGTCTTGAGCTTTTTGTTCTTTGCCCTTTGAGACCAGTGAACGCAGGACAAAATGCTCTGTGTAAAACTGTTTGTCCAGGAGGAGTCTGAACACTCTCATATGTGGAGATAGATGCAGCAGAAATGTTGAACCTCTGAGCCCCCTTTCCTCACTCAAGAGTTAGATAGTTACGTGGTCTTGGAATACTCCGTTCTTCATCTGCCCCCGGCCTCTCACTGGGCTCATCTGTCCCGCTGTCCTTGTAGGTCTGAGTGTGGCTCCTAGAGCACCTGCCATGGCCAGGACATGGCGCGGGTTTGAATGTCACTAGGCATCCTTCCACCACCTGCTAATCAAGGAAGCTTGGAACCCCAACACTGATCTCTCCCATTCCTTGTTCCCTTCACCAGTTACCATGTCCCCCTTTAGACCAGCAAGCTCCAGGAGTTAAATTTCTTACCTCTACAATCAGGTTGTCCATCCCAATCCCATACTTCTTAACAAAGGGCCATGTTTGCAGTAACACTAAATGAGTACTTCTGCAGAGTGATGTTTACATTGTGACGTTTTGACACTACACATTGTATGAACCACCTTGACATCTAATACAAGCAGTTATTACTCCATAAGAGTGCTATTGATATATTACCTTTTTGATCTTATGATAGTTTCAGTAGAGCTGCTGAGGACTGAATGGGGGTACAACAGACTATGACAAGGTCCCATCTGGCAGCAGTCACATTTATGAAAAATATTGCCTCAAAAAGTGCACTGGTGGATGTGATACCTCTGATATCTCTGTCTTGGGAAGCACTGTTGGGGCTTTCCAGTGACTGCAATAGGTACAGTCTTTGCCAAAAAAAAAAAAAAAATTAAAATATCAAAGTAAAATGGTATCATTTGCAAAGTAATATAATAAAAACATTAGATGGTCAACTCTGTCTGACCTCTTGCCTTCCAGAATGAACTACTGCTTAGAGAGGTGTAGACCAAGAACTAGTAGGATGATTTAATGTGATCCAAGGGCATAGAACAGCTGAAATTAAGAAAAGTCTGTTTATTTTCTTATCAGGAAAAGCTTCTAAAGAGAGCTCTGTTAGCATACAGACCAGTTTCCCAAGCAACGTGGAGGAAACCTGACTGACAGGAACACTTTAAAATTAGATCAGCTAAAGCGCACCAATTCTGCACTGTTCCCCAAGGACTAAATCAGGGGTGGCCAACCTGAGCCTGAGAAGGAGCCAGAATTTGCCAATGTACATTGCCAAAGAGCCATAGTAATACGTCAGCAGCCCCCCATCAGCGCCCAGCGCCTCCCACCCACCAGCAGCCCCGCCGATCAGCGCCTCCCCCTCCCTCCCAATCAGCTCTTTCAGGAGGCTCGGGGGGAGGAACGAGGGCATGGTAGGCTCAGGGGAGGGGATGGGGTGGAGTGGGGGTAGGGCTTGTGGCAGAGCCAAGGGTTGAGCAGTGAGCACCCCCCCCCCCACCCCAGCACATTGGAAAGTTGGCGCCTGTAGCTTCAGCCCTGGAGTCTGTGCCTATACAAGGAACCACATGTGGCTCCAGAGCCACGGGTTGGCCACCCCGGACTAGATGATCTAACAGGGCCTTTCCATCTCTAGATTTTAATGAGCCATTGAACAAAAAACAGAGGGGGTTGAGGGTAACCTTACATCGTAACCTAGACAAGGAGAAACGTAGTAAGAAGAACTGTAAATACGATTACATTTGAGCAGATGATAGAAGGATATTTGCAAAGATCCCTATTCAAAGGCAGGCCAAATATATACATATTTTAAGCTACAACAAAGCTGCTTTGCTCTGTAAATGTTGTTGGCTCTCTCTTTGGAGCTCAGACTTAGATGAGCGTTTGGCTCCATGGGAATTCCATAGCAGAGAAGGATGGGAGATCTATTTAACCTAGACTTTTTATTTTTTACTAGAGATAATTGTTAGTAACTGTTTCTCTTACTGGCTGGGTTGCACTACATTGTACGTTGTTTTCTGAATTACAGACCCTCTCTCTGTCTCCCTGCTCTGGGCTCCCCCAGTCAAGTCCATAGGTCTCGTCTAAAGCTCACTGAATTCAATGGGAATCTTTCCAGTGACTGCAGTGGGCTTTGGCGGAGGCTCACAATGCATTGTGAGAAATGAAATTAGTGAGGTGACTGAGACATGTTGTCTCTACTCCAGAGGGGAAGGCTGGTCTTAAGTTCCTTTCATTTATTTTTCTAGTATAGAAAAATACATCTAGTTTGACTTCTGGGCCTATGAATAAAAACTATAAATTTCTAAAAAATCACACGCAGTCCTAAGGACTGGGAGTTGGGAGAATCAAGTCTACTTCCCAGCTCTACCACAGACTTTCTGGAGTGACCTTAGGTAAATCACTTACCCTCTCTGTGCCCGTTTCCCCATTTGTAAACGAGGAATGTTGATACTTCCTGCCCCCTTCACAGGGATATAGTGAGGGGCTAATTAATGTTCATATTCTAAAGCACTTCAAGATCCTTAGATGGAAGACATTATAGAAGTGCAAAATGTTATTACAGTGCAGTGTATTCCCGAAACCACCACTAAAATCAGCTCCTGACGTGACATATACTTAAAGGAAGCATAGAATTGTCCTAACAGAGGCCTCATTACCTGCCAACTCAAGAAAGCACCCATTAGGTAGCTGTTAGAAGAACAAACCTCTGTTATAAAAGGAACAAAGTAAGGGTTGCTGGAGGTCAGGAATGAAAATGCTGGTTCTGATTCAGTGCCCTTTGTGTAACTGTGGAAACAGAGAAATGTCTCTTTTCTTTGTGAGATGTATAAGAAACCAAAAATGATATCGCTGAATCAATTATTTAGTGACACTGAGAAATCTGGGTTCTTAAAATATCTGTTAATGAAAAAGAAATAGAGGCAGGGATAAGAGAGATGCTTAGAGAGAACGTAGCCAGAACTACTGAGCAAAAAGGGAAACAGGAGAGATGTCTCTTTAAATCATTCCCTTTCTTTTCAAGTGCACAAATGGGCTAAGATAAAAAGCTACAGGGTCAGAGTTCCAGGGAGCCCTTGCAATAGTTTTCCACGGTGGAGCAAATTATAATACAACACTATTTGACACTGGCTTTAGCTTCAGTGAACGTTATATAAATGTTTCACACCGTAATGAACCTTTTTTCAAATACATGTCTCGACAGAACATGAAAACTCCTTGGAAGAGGTGTTGTGCATAGAATGTTGTCTGCATATCACACTGTCTCACTTTAATTCTTTGAAGCAGTCTGCATGCTGCGGTGAACAAAGAATTGCCAATGCTAGGAATTGTATACTGAATGAAAACAAATTTAACAGAAGGGGGACAACTTTCCCTCCCCCCATCTGCTCCACTTTCAATGTCCCCTTTCTCAGAGGTAGAGAGAAGCTGATCTCAGGTAGTTGGCATTTCCCTCAGTTTTTAATTAATGCTGAGCTTTAAGGTCTTTACCCAGAATGGCTTGAGGATACTTAACCATATCCAATCTGATGGTACAAGCCATCACACAAACCATGTTTACGCATTGTCATTGGCATCCATGCTCATACAAGGTTGTCATCAACAGTGTTCTTGCAATCCTCTGACACTTAGCCCTTTGCTTTTATTGACTTCTGAAACTAAGGAACAGCCATGTATTTCTGTGGTCGGGTGGGGGAAATCGCAAAATCTAATACAGCAAGGGAATGACTAAAGACTGAGGTCTGAACTGATGTCGACACTAAATTGTTTTAACCAAGAAAAGGTTTTTGTAATATTTAAAGAGAAATTGTGAGATGCTTTTTAACAACAACAACAAAACCAAACCCCACAATATCCCCCATCCTTCCTCCTTCCAGATAAATATAATAGGAAAGATATAGTGGATCACAGTCATTTTATTGGCACAGGCTAAGTTTTACTTTGGTGAATTTTGCTTGTAGGCTGTGAAACCCAGTTTTGAGTCATTTTATATAGGGTGGGGTGGGTTGTGTGGTGTTTTTGCTTGTTCTTTTATTGAATTTCTAGGCATCTTAAGGAAGCCAGTTCAAGGTTGTAGGAGACGCTTGGGGGAGGGGGTGGGGGGCCAAAACTCATTGCAAAGCAATACTTTGTTTCTGTCTCAGTTTTTCTCCTTTGCGCAGGAGGGGGGAAAAAGCATCTTCCCTATAATAATAATAATCAGCCAGTCACTGTGTAATCGGCCTGTCAACACCAAAACAAGGGAGAACTACTCAGGAGCCAATCCCTGAGGTAAAACTAGGACCTGGTAAAATTTTAGCTCACGCAATCTGTATGGTGAGCAGAACAAACCAGTGGGAAACTATTTTCAAACTATTTATTTTTTTTAAAAAGCAGTTGCTGTAGTAGATGGGCCTGATCCACTGACGTCACTGAAAAGACTGCAAAATGGTTTTGCATCAGACCCTATGTTAGGGCCAAGTGCTGAGAGAACAGGTCTGGGGCTTACTACTATAAAATGCTAAGGACCTCCTGTGAGGTGAGGAAAGCCCTTAGCTACCATTGATATCAGTGAGAGTTGGGGAACTCAGACCCTTACGAGAGATACTCAGCATGTTGGAGGATTGGGCTCATCCTTTCTCAGCAATGTTCTTGCACTGCAGACAAAGGAAGGAAGGTTGCTCTGATCAGGCGGTTGCTGTGGGGAAGCTGTCTGTTTATGAAAGTTCCAACCAGATCTCATCCCAATGTTCTTTTCTTGGTAATTCTAGCTATGTAACTAGCACCAACTCTTCAGAATACATTTTGGCAAAATTTTGAAGTTACAGGGCACAATGAGCATGTCATCTAATCTTTGTGATAGTTTAGGCCAATATTTTTCAAAGGTGGTTGGCTAAAGTCAGGCATTACAATGAGGGGCTTGATTTTCACAGGTTGAGAGTGGTGGGTTCTGAGCACCTCTGAAAATGGATTTCAGTGACGCGCTTTAGGCAGCTTATTTGAATATATGGTCTTTGAGATAAGTGGTATTTATTAGCACTCTATTGATCTATTTCTGCCAACTACGGCGTAGTATTAGGTATTTTACTCCAGCGCTGGGTTTTTGCCCCCTGCTATCAGACCTCTCTCCCCTTTTGCTTTCCCCACTGAAGCGTCCTGGTGGCAGTGAACTCGGTATTGTGTTAAAAACATTCAGCCAACGAGTCTTGTCAATACTGGCCAGTGGCACTAGGCTGCACTAATTCTTAATGGTTCTAGCTTCCAGAGAGTCACTCAGAACAAGGAAAGCATTTGGGTTTTGTTCTGCTTCAGTGATGTCAACATTTGGTTGCACCTGAACAGTTTTTTACAATGACACACTATTTTTCTAAACATATAATTTGCAAAAGTACAGCTACTGTGACGCATCTCAAATTCTAAGAAGGATTCCTACAGAACACCCAACCGTGAAAACGCAAAACGCACTGCTATCGGTGAACTATTTTTGCTTGCCAAATGTGTGTTAATAGGAAATGAAGATCTAAGATGAAGAATATCTATCTGTCTTGATATTTTTTAAAAAAAGTGGGAAAATGAAAAACATCCATAGAAATTTAAGTAAAACAAGTCCATTAAGGTAGATCTTAAGCAACACTTAGAAGAACCTGAAGCTACAACTGAAATCAAAGAAAATATAGTTGTTAGTTGTTACACTCTGAGATTTCTCACCTACACACCAGCAATATTGAAGCTATGGTGGCAGGCAGTATTACCTCATTTATTTGTTAAACTATGTGCATCAATTCAGCTTTCCCCATGACTTTTAAAATTTCACTCGGACTTTTATTTTAAGGTTCTCCAAGATGTTTAATTTCCCCCTAAACGTTTTATTCCTATACTGCAATCTGATTGCCTTACACTAATAAAAAAAAAAAAGTTCTTAACTGTTACTCTGTCTTTGTTGTCTTTGCCTGTTACAGGTCAATCTGTCAATATACTTGTGAAGAACATATAAATCTATGTTGTTTCTCTTTAACCATGTCATGATTCCTTACAAGGTGTCAGGCATTGTTATCCATGACACAACATTGCTTGTCCCACAGTTAAAGAACTCCAGACAAGGCAGAGTTTTGGTAATGCCCACCTAGGACCACTGAGCTACATCCCTTTGTGGCAAGCTCGTGGTAAGCCCTATGGAAGCCTTACAAGATGACCCTGTTCAACAGATATGGCAGACAAATGGCTACTAACTTAAATCTTTTTGGATGGACAGGTACCCACAGAGCATTCACAGATGCAGTTGTGTGTTGACTTTTCCTGTGGCTCTCTCTGTAGGACATTCAACAGCCAGCTGCTACTTTTAACAAAGTCTCCACCCCTCTACTGGCATCACTGTCCTTTTCCTATAGGGAGCGGCATTGGTGATGTCATGAGTTCCCTGCTTTGACATTCCAGAGCGCTGGTCTCCTCTTCTGCTCCCCCTCCACCCCATACCTAAGCCACAAGGAATAATGCATCAATGAGAAGGTGAGGTGTCCTCCAAGCCCAGCAGCTCCTTTATAAGTCTCTCACCAAACTGTGCCCGGCTGTACCTTTTCACGTGATAGGCATCTGACATTTTGTAGAGGATGTAGGCATTGTTTATGGCAATGCTGATGGTAAACCAGAACACTTGTTGCCAGGTCTTGTTTGGTTTATGAGAAATGAAATACCTATGAAAGGGGGAGAGGAAAAAGATAATCAACATTCAAACCCTTCTATGTGTGTCCTGCTGGGAGGCAAGAAAAGTGACCCCAGAGGTTGTGCAGGCCCAGGAGCTCTCATTGGGACGATACGCCAGCTGTTCATTGTTACTGTCTTAAGGGACATGTACAACAATATGTTTGATAACTTTGTTCCAGTAAAGTTATGAGAGAGTCTCTAGTTCTCCCTTTTTGGTGCAATGTTCGGTTGTCTGTGTCTTGCATTCTTCTGCCCTCATCAGAAAGTTCTAGCTCCAGGGTTGCCAATAGATCACATCATCTGGGCAAAAATGCATGATGGAAAAGGCCTGTTTTGGTCACCTAGCAGTGCAGGATTGGTCACTTCAGTACCTTCGGTCTCCACCCAGTTTTCAGTGTGCCAAGTGGTGGAGCTTCCACCACTTCCCTTGGCAACCTATGCTGTAGCCAAATATATCTCGCTGTCAGGAAAACTTTTCCTGAGATTTAGCCTAAATTTCCCCATAGTTAACTTCAGCCCATCAATCCTAGTTCATCCCTTTGTACCACCCCAAAGAATCATACTCTCTGATGTTCACATCCTTCATATACTTGTAAACTTAGACTCCTGCCCCATTATTCATTGCCTTGCCAATTCCTATTATCATTGGGACAGAGGGATTAACTGGACATTAATTTCTCTTCTCTCAATTTCCTCTAGTTGCTCAATATCTTTCTGGCAATGAGATGCCCCAAATGGAGTCCACTATTGCAGTAACATACAATATGGCAATAGATGCGTTTGCCTCTCTCTCTCCCAAACAAGTTCCCCAAATAGTGCTCAGCAGGCAGCTCTTACCCTTACAGTACTCAGCATTTGGTCCAGCTCCTCAAAGGTATTTAGGTGCCAAATTCCCATTGAAATCAATGGGAATTAAGCACCTCAGTACCTGCTGTACTAACTCCCAGAGAAAGTGTTTAATGCTCTAAGAGCCATGTTCTGGTTACAGTTTTCAAAACCGCTTCAGGTTCAGCACCTTCAGGTCCACCAGCTAAAACAGCAAAAGCACAAGCTGCTGGGAGCCTGGGGAAAGCGTATGGGCGCAGTAAGCATTCTTTTTATGTGTTGGACCAAACCATGATGCAATTTGAATTTATCCAGAACCCAGTTCCTTTGTTTTAAAAATGGCACATTTTACTGACTTCCTGCCTAGTGAGAAACTGCATGTGTATTTGGAAGCAACAGACCTTAGAGATGGGGGAGGGCCCATTCAGTCACCTTGCCCATTGTCTTTGTGCAGAACAGTTTCCTTAACCCTTATATTACTGAGACCTAATGCTTGGCTGGTGGTAGTATACAGGGATTAGGGGTGAGCTCCACAAAGGGACTTGGGTATTGCAACATTGAACACTATGGCATCTAACTTCTGGGCACCTAGAAAATCCGTGGAACAACACTGTGATCCACAAAACTGAGTTAGGTGCCTAGGCTCCCTATACAAGGAATGGGGAGAGACCGGTGCCTAAGAATGTGACCCACAAAGCCAGCATGCTAGGTGCGGAGTGGCCTAAGCTAGACATTGGGAGATGCCAATGGCAGGGGGGTGTGCTAAGCCTCAGGCAGAGGAGGGAATTGAACCTGGGGCTCCGATATCCCAGGTCCATGCTCTAACTACTAGATTAAAAGTTACAAGCTCACTGCCTCTTTTTTTGGGCCGGATTTTGAACGGGACCCAATCCAGCATATGTGCTCAGAGGCCACCTATTGGATCAGGTCCAGCCATCTAAGTCACGTGAGGAATGCTTGTCTTTCCCTGGTTTGTGACTTACTCTAGGGCTTAGGCAGATGCCTAGAGGGAGGTACCGTCCTGCATGCCCAGAGGCAGAAATTTAGACACCAAGTGAGTTTAGGCATCTACACGGTTCAGTGGAAGTTTTGTGGATTGCAGTGGACCCAAGACTGGGACTTAAGCAGCTCAACCTGCGACTTAAGCACCTAACGCCTTTCATGGATCCCATCCCATGTACAGACATAATAAAATATAGCTCATAAAATGGCTGCCATAACTCGGCTTCACTGAATGCCATCTGCCCAAATACACCCGTGATCCAGTGTAGAACCAGAAGATCATCATCCAAGCTGAGCAAAAAGCACTAAGCAAACTGCCTAAATGGTGAAAAGTTTATTTTTAAGGAAGTCTCACTTAGTCATGCAGCCTTAGCAAAACGGTTATGTAAATTTGCCAAGTGAGGCACAAAACCTACTCCTGTACCCTTGCCATGAGGATTATTGGGGCAAAACCATAATTTTGCTAACCCACAGGAAGACAGCTACTTGTCCCTGGCAAGAAAGCTTGTGTACAGCTGATTGAGGTGCTGTTAGTAGCACAGGTAAGGAACAGGGGTTTTTTAATGACCTTTTAAGCAAAGAATATTCCTTAAAAATCAAGGATACAAAAACAGCCCCAGACAGGGCAAGGAGGGAATTAAGAATCTGTGAAAGGACCTGCCCAGCTCCAGGGAAAGTGCTAATTATGGAGAGTCCTGCAGCTGACGCTCACTAAGGGTAGACCACATAGAGAAGGCAGCTATAGCAAAGAAACAGAATCTCTCTTGCTCTTGTAGTTATGACTTGGATCAAAGCTGCTGTAACTAATTCCTGGTGCCTGGGAATAGCTGGATAATAACATGGCGAAGCTGGTGACTGACAGTGTATTGGAAGGCAGTAGAAACTCCTGGTAGTCTTAGGCTATGTCTATGCTACCACTTATATCGCTCAGGGGTGTGAATATTCCACCCACTGGGCAACACAAGTTACACTGACCTAAGCGCTAGTGTGTCTCCCACCGACATAACTTCTGCTGCTTGCAGAGGTGGTTTTATTATACATACAGGAGAGCTTTCTCCCGTGGGCATTGAGTGTCTTCACCAGACATGCTGGTTTGGCCCTAAACCTAATGCGGATCCACCACCACCTTGGTTCTTCTCTCAAACTGCTCTCTAGCTATGCCATTTAAATACTCCAAGGATGCAATTCTCATGGTGTTTTGGCTGAAGAATGGACAGACAGGAGTATCACAGTGTTTTGGATCTGGTCCAGCTTTGCTGAATTATGCAAGATGTGAAGGGGGGAGGAAGGATGTTCTGAATTTAACCAGAACTGTTTGTTCATATCTAACTCCTACACAAATTCCCAAGATAACGGTCAGCACTGCGGCTTGCCTCCCTTAGGAAAATCGTGCAAAGATATAGAGCCTGATTCCACTTGCTTTGATGTCAATGAGCGTTTTGCCATTGAATTTAATGAGGGCAGGAGCATGCTCCTAGTGTCCCCTCAAAAACCAAGAAAGGTTCAAATGTTCCAGTAACACAGGATTCACCCACTTGCCATCCCACCCACTTACTTGCTGTATTTGTCGTCATATTTGCAGATATAGCTAAGATGAGCAGCAAAAGCTTCTACTGCCAACGGGCATGGGATCTCGCCACTTTTTCTCTTAATTATAACTCCTGCATCAATTAAAAAAACAAAACAAAACACAGCTATTGAATCTTAACTGTTGTGTTAGCATCAGTGTTACCAACTACAATACACTTTCTGAAAAGGGGATTTGAGATCAGTTAGTGTGCCAGCAAGACTCCATTAATCATTAGAACTTCTATGCCAAAAATAAACCTTGTTGATCTTGAATTTGCTTTCCTTCCCCCACCCCTCTTCTCAGTCCAACTGGCACCTGGAAGATTGTATCATAGACTTTGCTAGTAATGTGTATGCCAAAGGAGCTGTGTGGGAGATACAAGAGTGATTGGTTTAAAAAAAAAATGGTCAAAACACAAACTTGAACTCTTTCCCGAGCTTGAGCTAGGGGCCCTTCATGGTGAGGCACTTGTTGGTCAGACTTCATGTGGTGACGTTTGCTTCTTGATGCACCATTATCTTGCTGAGATGCTAAATCTGAACTTGCAAAAGTTCAGCTTTGATTCACTGGGACAGAATGCTGTGGGTTTGGATTCTGGTGTGTACTGTTTGCCTAGCCCTTCTTCATGGACTGTGACACCAGCAGGTACTGAAGAGCAATGGTTACCATGGGATGTGATAATCACCTCTGTTGCAGTTGTAAGCCTTAAGGCAGTGGGGTCTACAGGGAGCACTGCGAGCAAAACAGCTGGTGCCAGATATGGCTGCAAACTGTCTTAGGCTGGTGTTATATGCTGCAGATACCACCTGCCTCACCATGATTCATCCTTGGGGTGAGACACTTCCCCTCTTCCCAGCTGTACTGCCTCCACACTGTCTTTGCGACTGCATTTGTATCCAGATCTCTCTCATTCTTGCAAGGAAATTGATGAGACTAGTGGTCTGGAGAAGGGAAAGGTTCATGGGGCACTTGGTTAGAAGTCCAGTCCAGGCCTGCCTGGTGTGATGGGCTGAAGAGTCAGAGAAGCATTTGTAATTAATTTCCAGATGTCTCGTATGAAGTTTATGCAGGAGGCACTTGTCTGTGCTCTGTTACCATCCTGTGCCCAAGGAAATGGGACTTGTGCACATTTTGTAAATAAACCATACTAACAAAATACTGGACTCCGCGTCACTGAGCTCTGCTTCAAACAGGGAAACTGACACATGTATTGCCCCTTTGCTGAGCAGCAACAGACTTTGCCAGGCAGCAGCAGGTTTGGGGGGGCCTTGAAAGTCATTTTCCTGTTTGGAGCGGAAATCTGATATGGAGTCTGGTATTTCCTTCATATACATTTAGGATGGGATCCACGGAGGGACTAGGGTGTTGCAATCCTCAGCATCATGGCGCCTAACTTCTGGGCACCTAGAAAAAAATCACAGGAACGCCACCATACTCCACAACGGGGGGGCAAGAGGGGCAATTTGCCCCAGGCCCTGGGCCCCACAGGGGCCCCCACGAGAATATAGTATTCTATAGTATTGCAACTTTTTTTTATGGAAGGGGCCCCTAAAATTGCTTTGCCCCAGGCCCCCTGAATCCTCTGGGCGGCCCTGCTCCGCAAAGCTGAGGTAGGCACCTATCTCTCCCCATTCATTACATAGGGAGCCTAGGCACCTAAGAATGTGATCCACAAAAGCCAGCATGCTAGGTGGGGTGCAGCCTAAGCTAGCTAAGGGGAGATGCCAATAAGAGGGCTGGGGGTGAATCCCCGCCCCTTTCTTTGAGCTAGGGGCCTATATCTGGACTGTGGGGAGATGCCTAGCTCTGCTTAGGGATCCATGAATAGTAACCAGCCACCTCAAGTCAGGTGGAGTAGGTACCTAAGTAATTTCTTGTGAGAATGAAGTAGGCGCCTGCCTCCCTCCACGCCCAGTGGTGGTAGTGTCCCCACCTACCTCATAATTTTTAGCCCAATGGTTAGAGCAGAGATGTGAGAAAACCCAGGTTCAATTCCCCACTCCCTGCCAGAGGAGGAGAGAGGCTTTGAACAGGGGTTTCCCGCCTCTCAGGAGCATTTCTTAACCACTGGCCTATTCGGACATGGGGCTCCCCCAATCTCATCCTGTTAAAGCTGTTTCACTGTGACTAAATAATGAAACAATGATTACAGTGAGGGGACTGGGCCTATGGTCTCCTGCCTCCCAGGTGGATGCCTTAACCACTAGACTACACAACCATTCCCCCTCTTGTGTTCTCTCTCTGGCCCAGTGACTGTTCCACTCCGGATAAATACTTAAATAGTCATTGGGCCAGCGAGAGCGAGCCTAGGTGTGAAGGAAGGAATGACTCTCTAGCCCTTTGGGTAGGGTACCCACCTGGGAGGTGGGGCTTCAAAGCCTGAACCGCAACTTCCAAGCACAATCTACACAGCTATTTTTACAGTGCTAACATGAGCTTCACTAGCACGGTCACTCTGGGCTGGGAGGCTCACTGCTGTGGGCTGCGTAGACATAACCCCAGCGACTCCAGGGGACTGATGTCATCAGGCAGCTTTTTGCAGTTTTCACTCTGGCCGGTCTAGCCCGTGTGACTGGCTATTTGTTCCATCTCCCTCCCTCCCAGTCACGTCACCCTCACATCACCTTGCCTCTGCCCTCTCCGTCTTCTCTGCTTTTGTCTTCCTGTTTAAACGTATCCCCTTCTAACTAAACCCCCCACCACCACCCTCCCCCAAAATACCCTCCCAAGGATCCACTTTTAAATCAAGATGGATGTTTTTCTAAAAGCTCTCCTCTAGGAATGATTGGGGGGAAGGGGGGAGTTCTCTGGCCTGTGCTATACAGGAAGTCAGACTGGATGATCACAATGGTCCCTTCTGGTCTTGGAATCTATGAATCATGCCTTGGGGGGGAAACTATGGCACTAACCTGCTGTTTGCAAACCATCACTCTGTTCCCTCTGCAGGTATGTTCTAGTCTTTTCCCTTAGGCTTTGACTGCCTGTCTGGTGTATTTAAACTGTAAACTCTTTGAAGCAGGGACTGTCTCCCTCATTCTGTACGGTGCCTCGCACAGTGGAACCCTGTTCTTCACTGTCTGCCAGGCACTATCATCCTTCCTGCTGGAAGGCAGCTCAGCTTGGCTGAAGTTACTGAGACACAAAGGCTTAAGGTGCCTTGTGCTTGGTCCCACTTTTAGTCACTGTCTCAGTTTGGACGAGATCCCAGACTCCTCCTGGCTCTCTGGTCTTTCCTGAATCTTCTAAACCATTAAATTACTTCATAAGACACCCAGACCAAAATTGTTACTCATGTTTTGATTACAAGCTTGAGAATTAAATTCCTTTGGCTAGAAGTACAGTTCCCTCCATTATCTCTGACATGCCCCCTATGACACCCTACTTGGCAGGCCCTGTTTTGAATCTAAGACTCGCAGCACATACTAAGTGTCATTTATGACTGATCCATATGACTATTTAGTTAAAGCCTTTGTGTGACAGATTTTAATGAGTCCCAAATGATGATAGAGTTGAGCATGATGCATAATAGGTGTAACCAGAACATGGGGGGGGGGGGACCCTTAAAGCTAACAAAACCAATATTTCTTATTGCCCTCAACATGCCCAGTAAGGGTGTTTTTTATTTTCTTTGCTGGAATTGTCCTGAAAGATCTGGTTGACTGTATGAAGACAAGGCTGTCTTTCCATGTCTTTCCCCTAGTAGGTTGGAAAGTACAAGATCTGTTTAGTGCAGGTGTTTTTGGTGACTTTTTTGGCTTCTAGAACTTCCTTTGATTCGCCTTCCACCATTCACTTTCACTAAAAATGTGTGATTACAGCTACATAGGCACCATGTACTCCTTCTTATTTTCCATTATAGACTGTTAAAGTGTTTCGATTTCTGGAATGTGGATAGGTTTATCTTATAGCACTTCACAGGCTTGATTCAAGCCATTGGTAGGAGGGGGCCCAGCAAGGTTCCCCAGAAGGAGGTTGGGGTGGCACAAATTGCTCAAAACTTTGGCACTACCCTGGGAGCCCCTCTGGTCAACAGTGCCCCAGCAGATAGCACTGGCTGAGAGGTGGCATGGCCAGGATACACAGATGATGTGCTCATTCAGCAGACCCCCCTAAGGTGTCTTTGCTAACAGGGCTCCTATGTAGCCCTTCCCCGGTGGAGCTCCCAGAGAAGTACTATGCTGCAAACACTGCTTGTTCTTTCCTGGGTTGTGGAGAGAGGTGGGCCGGGCTGCCAACTCTTGGGAAATCTTTTGTTTTGTTTTTTTTTAATCACAACGCTTATATGTGTGTGTGTGTGTGTGTGTGGTGGTTTTCCCTTAACGCTCCAGCTCCTGGCATCATGTGATTGTGAGAATCTCAGCTTTTATTGGAAAGGGGGGGGGAAAGTGAGCCATGGTGACAGAAAAGCTTGAAAATGTGACCCAATCGCATGCTAAAGCTCAGCCACCACAAGGCAAATAAAACCACCCAAAACGTTGGGTTTTTTTTTTTTTTTAAATCATGACTTTTAGCCAATCCCTGACTCATGATTTTTGAACAGTGGGTTGGTAATACTAGGAGCAGCTTGCATCTTCCGTAGTGTGCAGGGGCTGTTATTGGGGTGTGTGCACCAATAGGGGTGAACAGAGCACTGCAGGTTCAAAGTGCTGTACAGATATCCATCTAACAAATCCTCAAAGTCCTGTGATGTAAGGAAATGCATAGACCTGAATTTCCATAGTTTAAAAGGTCTGAAGCATAATTCTACTACAACACTTTTCCCCACCAGACCCATCAGTGAATTCTCATAAAGGGCATTTGGAAGTTTAGGGCCAAAATCTTCAACTGGTGTAAATTGCTGAAGTCAGTTTGTTTTATAATAAATTATTTGGCTTTCCTCCAGACTTTCAGGTTCTGGCCCTTTTATGAGTTAAATGTTTTTCAGAGAACTAATTTAACTTAACCAGCCAGGGCTGCTCCTCCCCACAGTACCCTCTGGGCCCAGAGCTGTGCAGGGAAGAGCCTATTTTGGGGACACTAGTACCCATGCAGTGACTTTTTCCTCCTCTGCCCACTCCCATTTGTGTAGCATTTGGGAAAGAAGGGAAGACACTGCAAAGAGGGAGCCAGCCAAAGACTCAAGACAGCAGGAGAAACTGTTAAAAGGAGCTTCACAGTGAGTGCTGGATTGATGATACTAGCGGGCTACTTCCACAGTTTTGCCGCTGGTTGTTCTCTGCCCTGCACTGATTGGTTGTTTGCCCCAACATCTCCTGCCTACTCCCATCATCTAGTGGTCACCTCAGCCTCACTCCATTTGCCTTCCACGTTCCTCAATTTCATCTCCCCTGCCCCTTCCCCCTCCCTTCAATGACTCCTCTCTTCACCTATCTCTCTGTTTAGTTAACTCCCAAAATACTTAAACCCCACCCAAAGTTACACCCATAATCACCACCTCTCCCCACACAAAAATTGTGGCACTAACATGCCATTTGCACCCCATCACTCTGTTTTGTGTTCTATCCCTTTCCCCCACCGTTTGTCCGTCTGGTCTATTTAGGTTGTATGCTCTCCAGAGCTGGGACTGTTTAGTACTGACTGTGCAGTACCTAGCACACTGGAGCCCCAAGGCATGACCATAATACAGACAGTAAATTTTTAAACTTCTCCCATCAAACTACTTATTTAAGGAAACAGAATTTTGTTTTGTTTCTTAATGTGGAGACAACACGTCTGATAGCAGAATACGCAAGTTACTTATTTGTGCAGTACTGTAAACAAAAGGCTTTCAGTCTTGAGCAATCATGAGCATGTATTATGACAAACTGGTCTAAAACTTTCATAAGTCACACGCTACATCTAAAAATGGGATTCATAGATTGGTTTTGAGAAGAGCACTTCTCTGCCATGCCTCTCCCCAGACTTGAATGGGGTTTGTAGTCAGGACACAGGTGAGATTCCCTTTCTCTGTTTTTATTTTATGTAAAGTAAGTAACTAGGTCATTACTTGTTGCCTCCACCTTTGCTGAAATCCTCATCCATGCCTCAACTTGCTCTTGTCCTCACTATAGCAACTTCCTTCTCAAGTCCCCCTGGGTGCAGTAAGCTGCTGCCCACTTTTACACGCAAAAAGCTGTGACAACATGGCTCCATTCTCAAACTATTTCCACTGGCCCCCCACTCATCTCAGGCTCCAGTTTCAAAACTCCCTTCCATTTGCTTATTCCAGTCTACATCACTGACGTCTCTCCCCCCCTCCTTCCTTCCCCACTCAATCCATGTGCTCAACACTGGCTTTATTACAGTCTCGCCACAGTGTGTGTGAAAGACTTCTCTTCTGTGCCCCGGACATTGGAAAGAGACTTCTTGGGCCAGAGCCTTAGTTGGCATAAACTGGCATCGCTACATTCACTTCAATGGAGAGATTCCAATTTACACCACCTGGCAATCTGGCCCTCTACCAGTCTCACTAAATCTCCCTCCTTTCTCAAATCTCAACTGAAGCCTTTATCTTTTCTCCCTAGCCTATATCTCACATAGTAGCAGATTAAGAGAAAACAATTTGTTTAATGTTCTTTATCAAGAATCCCTGTGAAGCATGTTAGTAAACATGTACTTCAAAGATTTTGCATACCATACAGGCTAAACTTTGTAAACCATGATCCTGTTCTGTAAATGGAACTACATGAGTTTATACCAGCTGAGGTTCTGGCCTTATCTACATACCAGTGTGTGACTACGCTGAGATGGGTGCAGATTTTCACACCCATGTGTAAAATTTGTTCTGTGTCTGCTCTGCTTCTGTTAAAGGGATATTCAACCAGTTTGTTTTGTTTGTAAAGCTTAATAGTCACCACCACCTTTACAAACAAATACATTTTTTCTTTTCTGAAACTTGTTTGTTTTTAGTAATTGTAGCCAAAGAAAGCAGCTTTGTGCTAGTGTATGAGAACCCGGTGACGCTCATTGACTTGACTTTGGTTTAATTACTCCAGTTGCATTGTCCAAACTTGCTAACATGCAACAAGCAAACAACATAATGACCATAAATTAGCTTGTTGAACTTAATTCAATTTAAAATTTAAGGTCTTATTAGAAAGGCTCTAATTCTGTACTGTTGGTGTCTGATTCTGCAAACATACAGTAACTTTATTTAATTCCATGGGTTTCAATCGAACTACTCATATGCAACTTTTCTCATGTGTTTTTAGAATCAGGCCCTGTGACACCAACCCTTTCAAGTTATCTGCTTCTCTTTTTAGTTAAATCAATGTTCTCTTGTGACATATAATAGCATTCCAAGTAGTGTCCAGTTCCCTAGCTCATCGTATAAAGGTTAGGATGTGTGGTGAGTTCTGATAAATGACCCCTCAATTCCCGTGAGATTTAGTCATGTGTGTGGCTATGCAACACTTCACTTCTATGACTGGCACCTGAATTCCTTAAATTCTGTATACATTTTTGAGAATGTGGTTTAAGCACCAAGTTACCTTTGTAAGCAGTAGCACCTTAAATTTGTAAATACGTAACAGTCTTTCAACTATAATTTGATTTTTGTATTTTACTCACTTTGGACAATAGAACTAAAGAGATTTTAAATGGACAAACTACTCTTTAAAAATGTCCTTTCATGTTGGGTTTTGTAAATATTTTTTTCAAAACTTACATTATGCCTAAAAATCTTTGAGTCCCTTAAAAAAACAAAACCCTCTCATAGTAAGATCAATTTCAGCTGAGTCTTTAAGAAACTATTCACAATCTAAACTACTCCCAAATATATTTTTGGCTGTTCTGGTTTTCTTTTCAGCAGCTGCACAATCAGTTTAGTATGCAATGGGAAGGCTCTTGCCAAAAGCCATTTGTATCTGATGAATGGGTTTTAAATCCATAGGAGAAACTAATTGTAGAATCTGGTCACTGAGTTTTATACTCAGTATGGTTCTTATTGGTCCAAAATATTTTATGCATTTAGGAGTTCCTCTTTACAAAGACTTATCATGCAATTATCTCATGAGACACCTTGTTACATATAGGATTTTAACCTCCATTACAACTCTCTGCACCACCACAGGTCAGCTGGGATATGTATAACACCAAAAAGGAACAGCTCTCTACTGTGCCAGCTAAAAGAGTAACTGTTAGCTGGTAGCATTAGTAAGCCTTTTTTAACCTTTATGCACAAAAGACATCCGTTGCAGAAAGAACACTTTTAGCCACTGCTAATGTAGATTAACTAGTACCTTATGGACAAGAGCAAACGCAATGGAAATTATCATTAATGCTACGGTTTATCTAGGATAATTATCAAGCTTCTTGTCTGGGGTTATCCAACTTCCTAAGTGTCCTATCTTGTCTTGTCACCTATTTTGAAAAACATGGTCACAATACAGGTAGCGATACTGCTGACTGCTCACCTTGTTGAACTGGAGAATAGGCATTAGTGAGAAAACGAAAATGCCCTTTGTTATACCAGCAGATCAGGGACATGTTTCCCTTCATCTTTATTCTGTACTGCCCTCTGGACTGAGGAGCATCTGGGTTATGCAGCATTGATGGAGGTAGGCCTGTGCAGTCACTTTTCCTGGAACTCAGCAATCCGCAGCAATAAATCTCTGCACATGAAAGAGAATAAATTCCCATCAGCAAACCATCCTATAGGTTTAGGCATAAATGACAGTGGGGCTGTCTGACCTATTTGACCGGAGGAAGAACTGGTCCTAAAACTAAGCCAGTAGATACATAGGTTGGCCAATGGCCGAGGATTTCTCTGTGGTATCCAGGACCACTCTCTCTTTTCAGGCTCCAGGAAGAAATGCATTCAATACACAAGTCCAGAGAGCCAGTTCTCCAGGTGATTTAATATGATAAACAGGTATAATATAGGCTGAGTAGCTGAACTTCCCAACAATGAAATCTATTAGGTTGTGAAATTTACTCCCAGGGAGGAGGCCACATTGCTTTGGGCATTTAGCATTAGACTCGACAAAGTAGTGGAGGATGTACTCTCTTCCATGTTTAACTACGCTGATAAATTGGAAAAAAGGCTATGGCCTCCTTAAGTTGTCTGAAATGACCCCCATGGTGCTTTTAATCCTAGTGCCTATGGCTGACAGCTTTTGGTGCTAGCAGATGACAACTCAGCCTACAATTTCCTCGCAATACAATCTTCTCAACGCTCATCAATTCTACCCTCCTTCAACTATGACAAACGGACCAATGAGTAAATTCATATGTTGTGAAACCCAGACACGTCTCACTCTAGCAATCAATGCAGCCATGTCAGAATAACCAAATCATTTAACACACATTAATAATGACAGTGCCTGGCTTGTGTTGAGTATGTGTATGTGATAAGAAAAATCAGATTGTTAAAACTTCCATTCATCTGATTAATTTAAAGAGCATATAGTAATAGAATTTCTTGCTATCAGAAGAGAGATACTCTGCATAGGAAATTTAGTCAAAGAAATCCCCAAATCAAACAGCTGATCAACTGGATTAAAGGATCAAATCCAGTTTTGGCCAAGAGTCAAATCTTTCAGTAGTGAGATACTCTATACTGCGAAGCAATGTCCTCGTCCTGATGTGAGCTTTACAAAATCCAGGAAATCTTAAATCCAAATCTCCTCACCAACCGTCTAGGCTTTGTTTTGACTACATGAAGGGAATCGGAGCGCACACATCTGTGTGTATATTATACTTAGACTGATCCACTTAAGTTTGTGTATTCCACTTAAACTACAGCAGCCCAAAGCTGCTATTTCAGGTAAAACAAAATAGGTCTGTCAACTGAGAACACTGACCTAAATTTTAGAGTCTAAAATCTACTTATCGAACTATCATCCTTCAGCAAATAAAGAATATTAAAAATCAAACCACTTGATCAAGGGGGAATAGAGGCTGTTACATACTATGCGGCTCTTCTGCCTTTGTCCTTCTGGTATTCTGTACGCTCTTTGGCGCGGGAACAGTCTTTTGTGGGGGGGTTTCTGTTTGTACAGCACCTAGTGCAGTGGGGTCCTGGTCCTTCACTAGAGCTCCTAGGTGCTATGGTAATACAAAATAATCAA